CCTCAACTGAGGCTCAGTGAGTATTCAGAAAATTTTTGTATAGACGCTGAAGCAAGAGAAGAGACAAAAAGAAAAAGACAAAGGAAAGAGCAGGAAGTAGTGGCACACATTTGTAATCCAGTGGCAGGAGGATCACAAGTTCAAAGTCAGCCTTAGCAAATTTAGCAAGGCCATAACCAACTTATCATCCTACCTCAAAATAAAAAATGAGAACATGAGGGGCCGGGTTTGTGGCTCAGTGGTAGAGAGCTTGCCTAGCATATATGAGACACTGGGTTCGATCCCTGGCACCATATAAAAACAAATAGAGCCAGGGCTGTGGCTCAGTGGTACAACACTTGCCTAACATGCGTGAGGCACTGGGTTCGATCCCCAGAACCATGTAAAAATAAAAAATAAAGGCATTAAGTCCATCTACAACTAAAAAATAAAAAAATTAAAATTAAAAAAATAAATAAAATAGAGGTATTACATCCATCTACCTATAACAGCTACAATTGATTTGATGAGACGGAGACATGTTAAAAAAAAAAAATGTAGGGCTGGCGTTGTGGCTTAGAGGCAGAGCACTCGCCTAGCATGCATGAAGCACTGGGTTTGATCCTCAGCACCACATAAAAATATTGTGTCTACCTGTAACAAAAAAAAAATTTTTAAAAATTGTAAAAGTACTAAGTATTATTAGATTGTATATACACAATATAACTAAATGAGAAGATCCTTATGTGACATTTTACTTAGGGACAAATTAATAACACTAGCAAGAAACAAAAGTTACAGCAAGCTGGAGGTGCAATGGCAGACATCTGGAATCACAACTATTTGGGGGCTGGGGCAAAAGGATCACAAGTAGGAAATCAGCCTCTGCAAGACCATCTCTAAACAAGTAAAGGACTTCGGATGTACCTCTGTGATTAAGCACCCTCGGTTCAAACCCCAGTATCAACAAGGAAAAAAGGGGCTGGGGGTGTGGCTCAAGCGGTAGCTCACTCGCCTGGCATGCGTGCAGCCCAGGTTCGATCCTCAGCACCACATACAAACAAAGATATTGTGTCCACTGAGAACTAAAAAATACATATTTAAAAAAAAAAAAAGGAAAAAAATATACATCAAAATCCAAATGATTCCCTTCTCCACAAATAATCTTTAAAAGCTTCTCACTGAGGGCTGGGGTTGTGGCTCACAGGTAGAGTGCTCGCCTAGCATGCACAGGTGAGGCACTAGGTTCGATCCTCAGCACCACATAAACTATTAATATTGTGTCCACCTGTAACTAAAAATATTTTTTAAAAAAAGACTTCTCATTAAGACAGGCATGGTGCATGCCTATAATCTCAGAAGTTCCAGAGGCTGAAGCAGGAGGACTGAAAACTCAAAGGCAGCCTCAGCAACTTGGCAAAGCCCTAATCAATTTAGCAAGACCCTGACCCAAAATAAAAAAATAAAAAGTTCTGGAAGGGCTGGGACTATAACTCAGTTGGTAGAGTGCTTGCCTCACATGCACAAGGCCCTGGGTTCAATCTCCAGCACCCCAAGGGTGGGGGTGGGGGTAGTATGGGGGTGTGTTTTTAGTGGTTAAGCGCCCCTAGATTCAATCCCTGGTACTAAAAAAAGTTTCTCATTGAGCTGGGCATGGTGGCACACACCTAAACAGTAGGTTGAGGCAGTATGATCACAAGTTGCAGGCCAGCCTCAGCAACTTAGTGGGACTTTCAGCAACCTATGGAGAACACCCTGTCTCAAAATAAAAATAAAAGGGCTAGGAATGTAGCTCAGTGGTAGAGCACCCCTGGATTCAATCCCTAGTACTTCACAATCTCATATGCAAACACACACACACAGAAAACATGATTCTCACTGAAATTTTTCTAAGTTTTAGACCCAGGTGGTGATGGCAATCCCAGCAACTCAGGAGGGTGAGACAGGAGGATCACAAGTTCAAGGCCAGCCTCAGCAATTTAGCAAGGCCCTAAGCAACTTAGTGAGATCTCATCTCAAAATGAAAAAAAAAGGGGGGGGGGGGGGGGGGGAGTAAGGATGCTTTTCAGTGGAAAAGCACCACTGGTTCAATACCCATATCAAAAAGAGAAAAAAGTAGACACTTAAAATTGTGTTAAAATTATTTCAAAATCTACCACATGCTTATATAGTGATACTCCCTACAGATCCTTTCTCTCTTTGCCTTCCTTTAGGTTCATCTCCACTGGGTTTTACAAACACCAACAAAAACAGCTGCTAAAATGTATTAGGGATTACTACCTCACCATCAACACCTTGGGTGCCATAACACTTAGCTTTTAAGGACATTCCATTTACTCAAATTAACAACTAAGAGTAAACTGGTATTTGCTGACATATGGGTTACCTCGTAAGAAGAAATAAACAAAATAACATCAATTTGTTAATGTACAGAGGAAATTCTCTATTTGTGAATTCACGAAGACTCCTACTTTGGAGCAGGGATTATCCCTTTATAATACATTCCCCATCCGGTGGAAAAACTGTCTTAGAATAAAGGAAATCTTAACTCATCATTTTAAAAAGGATTTCAATATTTAAAGGATAACATGCTTAAAAGTAAAGTCAAGGGTTAAGATTGTGGCTCAGCAGTAGAGCCCTTGTCTAGCATGTGCAAAGCCCTGGGTTCAACCCTCAGGACCACATAAAAATAAATAAGTAAAGGTATTGTGGGGCTGGGGTTGTGGCTCAGTGGCAGAGCACTTGCCCGCACATGTGAGGTACTGGGTTCCATCCTCGGCACCAAATTAAAATATATATATAAAGGCATTGTGTCCAACTACAACTAAAAAGTAAATATTAAAAAAAAAAAGGTAAAGTCACTTCATACAGTTCAGTCCTTCAATATAAGATTATACTACCTACATGTATGTCATACTTTCGGGGGTAGAGATAATGCCCAGTTTCCATTAAAAAAAAAAGAGCATATTGAAATAAATCCATTCTGGTTCATGTTCTCCTACCATTTATTCCTGAATTACTAAAAAGTCACTCTGATTTATAACAAGATACTCCTGGTCAGAAATGCACAAGCTTCACCATTTCCCAGGAAGGGGAAGTAGAGGTGTTATTGCTCTAGTATAGTTCTAAAGGAAGCTACATGTGACTACTGCTAGTCCAGCCCACACTTAAGCCAGAGGAAACAAGAGTGGCAGGAAACAGGCAAAAGAAGCAATTACAATACTTTCTCATGGCCTCATTTTCTCTCATGCCACCACCTCGAGCCATAGTTAAGTCACAAAGAAAATCTGTCTGAAAATACTCCTTAATTATTGAGAGTCAGAGCAACAAGGAAGCAACTGGAAGAAATCAAAGGTATGGGAAACAAGTAGGACAGAGATCAGGAGAAAATCTCTCACCATACATGTGAACTAGCCATAAGTAGAGAAATCAAGCAGAGCACACTGCTAGCAGGCAGAAAAGTGGTATAGGAAGCTAATCACCATTGCCTAGGGTAAGAGAAGGCTTCACAGCACAGGAAGGATAGTCTTAGCAGAGGGGGGTCCTACAGGCAGGTAAAAGATGATCAATCATCTCTAGAGAGCGGAATCTATTCCTGAGATAATGGGGGCCATACCAATGTACCCACTTGATGCCTGAGCTACAGAAGAGCTTAGGTATGAATGGCATTTACCTTCCTTCCACCTTTATTTATGGAATCAAAGTAAAAAGCAAGTACAATTAACAGAAAAAAGAAATACAATAACTAGCTGAGCACAGTGACTCACGCCTGTAATACCAGTGGTACCAGAGGCTGAGGCAAGAGGACCACAAGTTCAAAACCAGCCTCAGCAACTCAACAAGACTTTGTCTCAAAATTAAAAAACAAAAAAAAAATGGCTAGGGATGTTAGTAGAGCACCCCTGGGTTCAATCCCAGGTACGAAAAAAAAAAAAAAAAGAGAGAGAGAGAAAGAAAAGAAATACACTAACTAGTGGCATACCTCTTGGTGAAAAAAAGTCTTACCATGGTGAAAGAGAAAATAAAAGAACTGAATTCCACTAAAAATGTTAATCATATGCCCTTCAAATAAAAGATGATCTTTGGATGCCTTACTGAAGAGCTTAAAAAGCTCTCAATTGTTAGGCTACACAGGTGCTGGAGAAAGACTGCCTCAATACTGGCAGACTACGATTGGATTTAAGAGGTGGTAGCAAACTACAGGATTATGTCAAACAGGAAATAATAGGAACGATGATAGGATATACCCCTAAAGAAAACAAGGCCAGAGTAGTGACAGTGGAGATGTCTGGGCAACTAATTAGATTGAAAACTCAAGGGAAACGGTGGGAAAGTGATTGACCGGTAAAGAAAACTTAGTCGTTACGCACCAATGAAAGCATTTTGAATATATAATAGCACTTCACAAATTTACGAATCGCTCTAAACCTACATTAAAGAAAGAACTGTGACACAACCAAACTACACGAACCAGGAACGAGAAGGGAAACTCGGTCCCATCTGAGAAAGGAGCCTTCCAGAAGAAAAAGTATTAGAATAACTACGCCAAAGAAAGGTTGAGAGTGCTGAAGTTGGGCTTGAAGAAGGCCAGTCCCAGGACAAACTCCGGGCGTGAAAACGGAAAGTTGGTCAGGATGCGGGGCGACAGCGTGGCGGGAGAGCTGCAGCCCACAGGCAGGAGCCCAAGGTGGGAGAAAAAAACCACACCCTCCAGGACGGAGACCCACGGGGGAAGGGTAAGCGCCCCTTGGAGCTAGGTGGGGCCGGGCCAAATAGAATTAGGGAAGACAGAAGAGAGAATCGGGTTACCCGGGAGGGAGAGTTAGAAAGGTGCCCGGGCCTGGACATACTAAGGAAGCGTGAAGCCAGCGAAAGAAGCTCGGCCCGGTCCTCACAGACGGGCGCTAGGGCAGCCCAAAGATGGTTGGGTACTCAGAAGACCTAACCCCAAGTCCAGAAAGCACGCACGAGAGCACGCAGGGACCGGGAAGAGGGAAGGAAGGGGGGAGGGTGGCAATTACCGCTGCTGCTCTCGTTGGACTGAGAACCCGTCGCCGCCGCCGCTCGTTACCTGCCAATGTGCTTCTTACAAAGCGGCGGCGGCGGCAGGGGCGGCCCTGCCCGTCACGTGGCCTTTACGTCACGGGCCAGGGCGGAGCAAGGACACGTCGCTTGCGCGCGGCTTCCCAGCCCCCCCCCCCGCCCCCAGCAAACGGCCTCCTGTAACTAGGAACCTTGCCCTGACAGGGCAAACCTAATATCTCAGAGCGGGTGAAGACTAGAATAAGGAGCAATTAAAGGGGACTGTATGGAATTTCTCGTAATTGGAGTTCTTAGGGTAGTACTGCCCACTGCCATGCAGGTTGCCCACAAATGCAGCTCGTTGTCGCGCTGTGATGACCTCATTAGGCACCACGTGTTGCACCCCTGCGGCCGGCTTCCTCTAATCATGTGATGTGGTCCAACCATTCAAGGCAAGCTTGGCCTCCAGACGTCGCAGAAATCGACTACTAACTCCAGCGTGCCGCACAGTAAAGGCACCCACTGCAGCAGCATTTCCCGTGCGAGCTCACAGATGCACGGCCACTGAGTCTAGCACAGAGGGAAGGCCGAGACCGAAAGCGCACAGGGCTGACTTCCGAAACAAATACCACTGCGTGCCACCTTCCAAGTGACTCAGCGTGGTCCCTTCTGGGAGGAATAATTCTGCCCGGGAAGAAGGGGGCGGGTTCTGCTACCAAGTTGCGGGTGTCGAGCCCCGCCCTGCTCTCTGCGCGGGAAAACACCAACGGCTGGCTGCGAAACCCGAGACCCAAAAAGTCTACAAGTTAGAAGGGGCTCGTGATTCAATCTAACTAAATGTGGGTCATGTTCTGCATTCCCAAATCCCGACTGCATGAAAAGACTAACATTTATTGAACTCCTGCTCCACATCAGCCCTGTATACAGTCATATTGTATCATGTTATATCATGTAATCAACCCCTCGAGGCTAGAATCGGTCTCATTTTGAGGACATGGAAAGAGGTGTAGGGAGTTATTTCCTGGCATGAAATATCCAAATCAGTTTTCTGTCGCGCAAAGTGGAATGAGCCACATCTCAGTAAGACTGTACCTGTTGTTAACTCCAGGAACTAAGATGAAATGACATAATGGTCTGTAATTATAGCACAGAGTTAGAGTTTATTTTATCATTTACTGGCCTATTTGATCCTCAAAGATACTATCCAGGGACTGAGGGTGTAGCTCAGCCATTAGAACGTGTGTACTTAGTGTTGCCAGGCCCAGGGTTCAATCCTGAGCAAAAACAAAAGTGTGTATATTATCCTAGGCTAGTTTACAAAGGACTTGGAATTCCAGGAGGCCTATCTCAGAGTTTTCTACCCTGGTAACATCACTGAGTTGTGAAATTCAGATTATGTAAAGTACCTGAGTACAACATAGGAAACCCTCAACAAGTGAATTATTCACACAGTTTTTGCCCAATAGGTGTTTGCTTGTTTCCTTTTTGTACTGGGTGATAGACCCAACCTGATCTTTTATTAAAATTGGGAGCCATCTTGCC